GGTGGTGGTGGTGGTGGCGGTGGCCGCGGCGAAGGGGTGTTGGTGGCAGTGGTGGTGTTCCAACAATTGCTGTTGTTGCCGTTGCTGTCACCACCGCTGTTGGCCGTTGTTGTCGCACGGATGTACTTGTGAAGGTGTGCTGTGCTGTTGCGACATGACTTCAGTAAATGCTGTTCGAATGTTGTTCTGTCATTGCTGCGACGTGAAGGCAAAGATGTGCCTCACTTATTCCATCGACCATGCGCTATAACGTTGCGTGTTTACTGCGATGCTCAGAAGCCATGCGGCATGCACCCTGCAACTGGATCAGACTTCGATTCGGACGCTGATCTATCAAGCACTCAGCGACGATCCCCGATCTGCACGTGTGTTGAAAGAGACTTCACCACATGATGACGCACGGACAGTGCGTGGCCCGAATGTTACCATGCTAGCGGCCCAAACGACCACATAAACAAGAGAAACTCACAATGAAAGGGTTGTGAATCGCCCATGCAGGGGCCGTTATGACCCAAATGTAGGATCCTTATGTTGACATGGTTGCTTGGGTCCCTACAATTCTCGCATTCAGGGTTATTTTTTCCGTCGTCTCCGCGCAGGTCCGGCTGGCATAGCTGAGAGACCAAATGTAGGAAGCAAAGAAGACCGCCGACTCCAAAACTTGGAATGATTTCTGCTGTGCACGACATACTAGGGTTTAGGGTTTAGGGTTTAGGGTCGTTTTACAAAGATTCTCTGAGGCGGTCCAGGATAGCAGCTTTTGTCAAATCCACAGGCGGAAGACGTGGCCCTGAAGTGGGACTTGCGGTCGTGTGGCCATAGATAACACGAGGAAACGCGCAGACGCACAGACATATGACTGCAACCCTGGGTCCTACTTGTAGGCGCATTGGTGCTGGAATCCTACACTTAGCACAGCAGTGTGCATAGATGCCAAGGCCACATCCTGACCCCCATTTCAAAGTGAGTGGTACACCCAAAGTGTCTGAGGCATGAAGGGGGCAGTAGAAGAACTGACCCCAAGACCACCGAAGGCCGCCAGGGCAAGGGTCCCTCAGTGGAATCCGATGGTCTGGGTACGAGGGCGGCGCAGACCCCACACCTGCGAATCGGGGCGGCAAGGAGGAGATAGTAATTTTTCCTGTATATATGCATATAGTATAGAGAGAGATACATGTTATAATGTTATAGTACAATACCTTACTTATATTTCTGTGCAAACAATTTCTGGGGTGAGGGTCTGAAGCTACCAGCCACTTTAAAATCAATCTGCTTCTTCGCCTCGAAACTGCAAGCACCGTCATGATTTGTACAGCCTGAGACCAAGGCGTAATACACCGTTCAAAACCCAAACAGGAAACCATAAACCCCCAAACCCCTAAACCCTAAACCCCTAAACCCCCAGACGCCAAACCCAAAACCGCTGCAACCCTAAACCCTAAAACCCCTAAAACCCTAAACCCTAAACTCTAAAGCCCTAAACCCTAAACCACCCACCGTAAACCCAAGAAGCGGGACCTCACGGCCCTCCTCGCGGAGACGATCGAAGCACATCTTCTTGCACTCAATCTCCAGCCAACGGCACTCCGACTCGGGTTTAGGGTTTAGGGTTTAGGGGTTTAGGGGTTTAGGGTTTAGGTTTGCTTTAAGTTGAACCGCGCCCCTTCTCCCATCCTCGGAAATTATTGTAGGGGCCTTAATGATTACAAGAGGGTTCTGGGCTCCTTTACAGTATATTTATAATTTATAATAAGGCATTCTAACAATGATATTGGCAATTATTTAGGCTTCTATATTAGGCTCTTTTTCTTTGTCGGCCCTATTCGTCATGCCGAGTTTGAACACCACTGCAGCAGAGCATGCAGAGAGGGTTTAGGGGTGTAAGGCTTAGCTAAGAGCGTCTTGCTCCGTTGTTCTGCGGACCAACCTCTGCACAAAATCTCAAGTGAGGTCAGATTTGGAAGATCTCAGTTTGTGTTTAGTACGGAGAAGCGCCATAATACATAGTCAACGTAGCGGCGTTCCTCTGTCTCTACTTCTGTTCCTACGAATTGCCTCAAGTGCAAGCACCAGTAACCAGTACGTACCGCCAGTACACCTTGGACGAGGACGACAAGTGCACTCAAAAAGAAACGAACACAAAACTGAGCATGACAATGATATGGCTCACCATATGGTACGAGTAGTCGTCATCGTACTAATCTCCACCACGCCAGGGCCGTCTACTAGTCTACATCCAAGTCATCCGCAGTTCGTTCGGCCACTCAAAAACTGTGCAGGGTCTCAGCGAACCTTGCAGTCGTTCCAGCGGCCGCCCACGTGGGAGAAGTCGCCTGGGATGGGTGGGTTGATCTCTGGTCACCGCGTTGATAAAAGTGCCAGGGGACTGGATGGACTTGGCGTCCGTTGAGTGGGAAATCCAACAAATCTCTCAGAATCTAGCCGTCGCAGAAGGTTGGGGAAAAGGATGTAGGTTCCGGAAACGGTGGTCACAAATCTGAAACCTCGTTCGATGCAGCCGAGTGTCGCTTGCGGCCGTTCATATACTGGTACTCCGGCATCAGAGGCACCGGTGGCTTCGAGGCCCTGGAGCTTGCTGGGAGGGTTTAGGTTTTTTTTTTTTGAGGGCTTGGTGCACTTCTCGATTTGTGCGTGTCATCCTTGCGCAGGGGCCATGCTAATCTTCTCTGTATCGTTCCAATTTTATCGGATGATCCCCGAAGGGAATCCGGCAAATCGTGCATCCGCTATGCACACATTGTCCAGGATAAGTGAGAC